CTAAGAAGCAGCTCTGTGTTGAGCCATGTTGGAGCCGAGGCAAAAAGGAAAAATCAGTAATAATGATGCTGTCTTTATTTAGAATTTAAATCCATTATGGATTTTTGCATTTAATTTTTTAAATATTGCATTAAATTTTTTCTCTTGCCTACAGATGTTTTAGCATCCCTTAGATTTTGTACCCAAGGAGGGTGCCTCACTCTCATCACTATAGTGCTGGACACCATAAAGAGCCAATTTAAGAAAAAGAAAAAAAAAGTAGATGAAAGAAGGATAAGTAAAAGCAAGAGCTAGTTCCTTAAAATATGAACAAAATAGGCAAATTTTGGGCAAAGGTGATTAAAGAATAAATAAATATATGCCACATTAAATGAATACATTTGAAAATTACAAGGTAATGGGTGATTTTCTAGGAATATACGTTATAAATTTGACCAAGGGTAAAGGAGAAAATGGACCTGAGAAACATGAACTAAACTGGAAGTCTACTTTTTAAAAGGTCACATGTCCAGACAGTTTTACACTTGAGGTCCTACTAAACAACCAAGAACACATAAATTCTGTTAGTCTAATGATTACAGATTGTAGATATTCATTTTTAGAAACCAGCATTGTCTAGATAAAAAAAACCTGAACTAGCATAGAAAGGTGACTCAACTCAAAATCATTAATGAACTCAGAGGCAAAAATTCTACTTAAAAATATCTTAGGGTCTCCCTGGTAGTCCAGTGGCTAAGAATCTGCCTGCCAATGCAGCAGAAATGGGTTTGATCACTAATGCATGCCGTGCGTCATAACTTCTGAAGCTGGCAAGCCCTATAACCTGTGCTCCGCAGCAAGAAAATGCACCACAATGAGAAGCCCGTGGACAGCAACTATTACAGAAAAGTAGTCTCCACTCACCACAACTAGAGAAAGACTGCACACAGCAATGAAGACCCAGCATAACCAAAATAAATAAATATGTAAAATTTTAAAAATATTTTTAATGGGAGGGGGGATCAGGATGGGGAATACATGTAACTCCATGGCTGATTCATGCCAATGTATGACAAAACCCACTGCAATGTTGTGAAGTAATTAGCCTCCAACTAATAAAAATAAATGAAAAAATAAAATAAAAATATTTTTAAAAAGTGACATCTTCGAACATTGAATCCAGCATTGTACTAAAATAATAAGCTATCATTATGACAAGATAAGGTCAATTTCATAAATGCAAGGATAAATTATGGTTAACAAGTCTCATGTACTTTTTAAGTCAAATTAAAAGATAAAATTTTAACTATATAAGTAAATAATAAACAGGCATTTTTAAGAATTCAGCAGCAAAACTCAGTAAAATATGAATTAAAAATAGCTAATTTATAGTGAGTGAAACTGGCATGATGGTTCACACTAGAACAAAATTAGATCCCCATTTCAAATATACATCTATCAAAAATTAATTTTAGCTGTGTTAGATACCTAACTTTAGTAAAATAAAACTTTAAATATCAGAAAAAGATTGAAGATGATTTGTGCAACCTGAAAGTGAGGACGGAGTAGGGAGAAGCAGGAAATAGATAGGAATAAGATAGGAAATTGAAAGACTTAATAGTAAGATGAAAGACTTACTAGAAGACCAAACATCTGTGAATACCTCCACACCCATTATCAGTATTTCCAGAGGTTCCAAGTGTTTGATAGATAATGATACTGCATATTCACTTCACTGGAAGGACTGATGCTGAATCTGAAAACCCAATACTTTTTGGCCACCTTTTGCGAAGAACTGACTCATTTGAAAAGACCCTGATGCTGGCAAAGATTGAAGGCAGGAGGAGAAGGGGATGACAGAGGGTAAGATGGTTGGATGGCATCACCGACTCAATGGACATGAGTTTGAGTAAACTCTGGGAGTTGGCAATAGACAGGGAGGACTGGTGTGCTGCAGTCCATGGGGTCGCAGAGAGTCGGACATGACTGAGCGACTGAACTGAATTGACTGAGTACTGTTTTCTCAACAATATTTTGAGCAACTTTTTGGCATCCCGTCCATTGTCCTATACTATCTATATAGCATAGTGGTGTGAATGGCTTCAATAAATCCCTCTTGAATGATATTCCAGTTGTAGGAACCTGATCATCTTGGTGCTCAAGTTGAGCCCTAAGTGTTTCTCTCTAACCTTCCAGTGAGGGGATGGGGCTGTTTTCAAAGCCCATGCATATGTGCCAAGTCACTTCTGTCATGTTCGACTCTGTGAGACCCCACTGACTGTAACCTGCCAGGCTCCTCTGTCCATGGGATTTTCCACACAAGGATACTGGAGTGGGTGGCCATGTCCTCCTCAAGGAGATCTTCCTGACCCAGGGACCGAACCCATGTCCCCCACATTACAGGCAGATTCTTTACCACTGAGCCACTTGGGAAGGCCAACTGGGAAACAATCATTTACTTTTTCCTTTATGTCTCTGATGTGAGCTGAAGTTTAGTCCCTTTTAATTATACTATTAATATTTAAATGATTACATGTTCCAAACAGTATTTTTGAAGATATTAAGAAAGTCAGTTTATGAACTGAATTTACACATTCACGTACAAATTAACTTATATGCATTTATAAAATCCTTTCACTCACAGATCTTTAGGTAGCAAATATTTTTCAGATTGTCATCATTTCTCTGGTTTTCTGCATTTAAATGTTGGTCTCCCAAAACTTTAGCCTTATGCAAGAGGCATTTATTCCCATGTTACTAAAGAAATTTGTACTATTAAATGCAGAAAGTTGGCAAGAAAGTTTATGTAATGTTACATAAAAATATTTTTCTGGAGCCATAAGCTTGTTAAGGTTCTTATAGAGTTCGATCTATGATAACTATTATACATTTACTGGCATACCTCAAAACCTCTATAATTCCAATTAGTTATCAAATTTTATTGAGTGCCTATTATATGATTGGGACAACTGGTTGTTTTAATTTTAGGTACTGACAAGTGGGAAACCTCAGACTATAGAAAGTGTATGCTTTATTTCCAACAAACTTGGCAAAAAAAGAAATATTTCACTACTGTTTGGCTCAGGTGACAGATGGTCCACTGGCTAAGTCAATTTGGCTACAAATTATTGAGAAATAATACTATAAGCAAATAGGTTTCCAGGGATCAACTCTGGAAAGAATCTCACCTTACAAGAACCTTTCAATACCTAACTGAAAAGAAGTAGTCTCGTGAATAGACACCAAGAGAGATTTTTGCTATCTTTTCCACCTAACCCCTGAAACCCACAGTGGGAACAAATGGGTGGCAGGCAGGACTTAATCTAAGGAATGACACAACACTAAGGACCAACTGTCTTCTCCATGAACTTACAGTAACTCTGGTTTTAGAATGAAGTCTCCAAGATGCAGACTGTTAATCTTAGCAAATGAACAGTTAAGTGAGTCCAAATTAAAACTTTACTTTTTCAGTTTGTTACTAACTAAAAGACTAAGCATATCCCGAATTGACTGTCATGATGAATACATGCTGCTCCTCCAAGAAGTTTAACAAAAGAGCTCAATGACAGTGCTAAGATGGCAGACCTAAGGTCTGTAACTGGTTCATTAGTTTCACTTATCCTTTATAAAAAGTGATTCCCCCTCACCCTGGAACATGGTATTTTTTTTTTTTGCATCTTAAAAAAAAATTATGGGGTATTTTTTTTTTTTTTGAAGTGCAGGTTCATTAACTCCAAATTATCAGTTACTTATAAAGGATATTTCTCTATTATTGATACATGGATAAGTATTGGGTGTATTCTCACAAGAAAGTTTTTGTATATATTTATATACCATGATTTAACTGGGAAATTTCCTATGCCACTTTTGAAACTGTATTACTTACATTACAGATCACAAGGGAGTAACTGGCTTAGTAACCAGTTTATCACATTAAAATGTATTTTTAATGTATGCTAATTTCAAAAGGTTCATAGGAGAGTCAGCAGCTTTAGTGGTCTGCATACAGTATTGGGAAGAACCGGTTGGGAATGACTTGCATATCTCTGGGCAAGGCACTGTATTACTGGTCCTGTGGATCCTCATTCACAAAACTGCAGCTCATACACATCTTCTGTACAAAAAATAAATAAATAAATGCTATTTAGACTAATAAGTGAGTTTAACCCAGCAATGTTAATTATAGCATTATTATTCACCTCCAGAGTCTTAAAAAAGCGGAAGAAAAAACTTCTTAGAAGATGATTGACTCAGTATGTGAAGATTTAAACATTTCTTAGTAGTATCTGACAAATACTTTTAATTAAAATCTCAGGACACAAAGCTTCTGAGTAATCCAAGTTACTTAGAACCCATTTATTATTGAGAATTAGTGCTGGGAGGGGCCTGAGAAGATATTTTGCACAGGAAACCACTGGAGGCCTAAGAATGTTAAATACTTTTCCTAAAGACAAGGTGCTAATGAGCAACTCAGTCATAACCGGAAGGTTGATTTTCTAGGCGTTCCTCCTTTGTCCCATCTCTCAGCTATTTACGTATTTAGAGAAATAGTAAAATAATACGGGAAACACTGGCCTTCAAATATTCATCAATCCACTATCAATGAAGAGTAATTATTCCATGACATCTTTTGAGCAACAGAACTGTGATATATGAAGCGAATTAGCAGTCATTTGCAAACAAGACGCGCTCATTTAAAATTTTCAAAATTCCCTTTTAAGTAGAGTATCCTGGGAAAAGCGCGTATTGGTGAGGCCTTTGGGGCAAAGAACCGTCCAATGGAGGGATTTTTAGTTTACACTCGGGGGCACGGAGGGGCGTCGGTCGACAGGGCAAGGGGAGCGCGGGACGGAGGCTTGGGAATCCCCCTTCACTCCCTGAGAGCCCGCGCCGCCCGGGCGTCGCACCCACTCGGGGCCGAGCACCCAACTCGGGCATGGCGCCCCTCCGAGGGAACAGCCTCAGCCGGCGGGAGAGGTTGGGCGCTCGGGGGTCGCGGGTACCGGGCAGAGACGGCGTACCTCCGACTCGGGTGTGGTTCCCGCCGGAGTCATTCCCGCGGGAGTCGTTCCCCCGGGTGTCGTCCCCACAAACGTCGCCATGATCCCACCTCAGCCCTGCGGCCCCTCGTCGCCTAGGCAACCGGGGCGGGGCGGGGGCGGGGTCGCTGGGCTGGGGCAATGCGCCCACGCCTAGCCGCTTCCGGTCCCGAGCCCCATGCCCACCTGGGAAATGGTCAGGACCACGCTTGTAGGAGCCGGAGAGCAGTCCCCACCGCTGCGGGGCGCTGTGCCGGGAAAGCCTACGGCAGGGCTTTGAGTAACTAAATCGAGGTAGACTTTCCTTCTAGTAAGAGGGAAAAAAGGCAAAGAAAAAAAGCAGTTGAAACGAACTAGTAAACGGGGATGTGGGGCTTCCCTTGGTGGCTCAGTCGGGATAGAGTCCACGGGGTCACAAGAGCCAGACACGACTTAGCGACTAAACTACTGCCACCAAACGTGGGTGTGTAATACTAATACATGACAAGCCTGTCCATTTTGCCCAGGCAAGAATACTGGAGCGGGTTGCCATTCCTTTCTCCAGGGGATCCTCCCGACCCAGGGATCGAACCCACATCTCCTGCATTGCAGACGGATTTTTATCGACTGAACCACCAGGGAAGCCCCCAGTAAGTATTAAAGTGAGGTATATTATTGAAATTAATATTTTACATGAAAAAATTGTAATTTTAAAATATTAGGATATTATTGTTATGTTTAGAAGGAAAAACAGCCTTTATCTTTTGGAGATAACATGCTGAAAGATTTAGTGATTGTGAAGTGATAAAATGTCCACGGTTTACTCCGAAATAAGGAAGGGTAGATGGATAATGAGTGGAGGTACAGCAGAGGAATCAAGATGGGGGGAGGGGCATGGTCATTATACTATTATTTCTACTTTATAGTGTGATTTTTTTTTCCATAATAAAAACGTTGAAAAACAACATTTTTAGTATTTGTATGGCTTCACTGGTAGCTCAGCTGGTAAAGAATCCACCTGCAATGCTGGAGACCCCTGTTCCCTTCCTGGGTCCGGAAGAACGCTGGAGAAGGGACAGGCTACCCACACCAGTATTCTTGGGGTTACCTGGTGGCTTAGCTGGTAAAGAATCTGCCTGCAGTGTGGGAGACCTGGATTCGATTCCTGGGTTGGGAAGATCCCATTGAGAAAGAACGGCTACCCACTCCAGTGTTCTGGCCTGGAGAATTTCATGGACTATACAGTCCATGCCGTCACAAAGAGTCTGACATGTATGAGCGACTTTTACTTTCACGTGAGTGTTCTCTGAACAATAGTATCTGCTTCGATAATGAAAAGTGTTTTATTAACTTTCATGGGGGTTGCTATGCAGGAAACTTACTGCAAATATCAGACATTTAAATGCTTCACTTTCCTCCTCTGTCAAATGAGATAATGACAGTGTTGGCCTTATTGCATTATTGTGAGGATTTAGAATGTTAATATATGGGAATATTTAGGACAGTATCTAGCAACTGTATTTCTGTATTATTAGGATTAGTATTAGTTTGTACTTTTCTCTTTAGTTCATCCTGTACACCGTTGCCAAAATAACACTTCCATCATGGACCTCTTCTTATATTTGACCCCTGCCTTTCAGACCAAACTGAACAATTTACCTTTATATAACTTCATGATAATTGTGCCTTTCCTTGTCTTACTGTTAAGATTAGCCGCACAATTTGTACTGTCAACTTGGGGTTCATGAATTGTCTCTACATTTGTATATGTTTGGTCAGTCTTTTAAGTGGATTGTAGATTCCTCCTCTCCTTAGTATTTTACACCTAAAGAAACTAATTTAGTTCTTAGTACAGAATATTCAGTCAACAATGTGTTTATGATTTCCAACTCTATTTTAAAACCCTATTTAGACTCCATCAGTTAGTGAAAATACAGACAATTTTTAGTGATTGCCAGAGTTAATACTTAAGAGCTACCACCTTACAAACTCATTACAATGCTAATTAATTGATTATTTTCTTTTGATCCCTGCTTCACAGAAATTGAAAACAATGGGTAACCTTCTGCAAAGTAAAAACCATTTGCATTCTTTCAATTTAACCTTTAGTAAATGGCTAAAACATTTATTTCTTTAAACTGTTGTTCTAATTTTCTCAGAGTTCTGATTTATTTTCCTGGCCATTAATTGTTCTGTCATGTCTTTTACAGTTTTTACATTTTCTTCATCTCTTTTTGGTTTTGGACCCCAGAACTAGTGGAGGACTCCATTAAAGATGGACTAAATTCTACCAATGACAGGAGGGTTACCTCTGGCTGGGGTGGCAGGGGGCAGGGATTGTTTTGTAGTAGTTTCAATTTTACTGTATTTAATGTAATTTATTAGAGAGGTCAGTTTGGAGGAGGTAATTTAATTTTATGGGGCACATTTTTTTTTTTTTTTGCCTGGTGAGTGGTGTTGAAAACCCATTAGCCTGAAGGTTACTTTTTTTTTTTTTCATTTATTTTTATTAGTTGGAGGCTAATTACTTGAAGGTTACTTTTAATTTGCACAAGTTGGAGCTGATTTTAACTTCTCGCTTCTTTTGTGTGGAGGTGCCAACACGAAAGACAAATCTCAGTAGTTGATATGCTTTCTTACATGGAAAGGTCAGTTAAATCTTCCTTCTCAAGTCTCTTTTGAAGATAAACGCTTCTAACCAAAGCCTGCAAAATTCCATTTGTTATCTTAGTTTATTGTTTTAGGGCTAACAGAGAAAAGGAAACATATGGGTCTTGTAGTTTACAATAATTTTTTTTAACGACTTCTGACTTTAAGCACATCACAGTGAAATATGGGGTAGCTTGATAGTATTATTTGCCCAATTGGATTGGCCTTTGTTCTAATTAAAGTACTCCAGTCTACACGCTGATAAACCTATGAGTAGCAGATTTTACAAGTGGAATCAAATTTTCTTGAAAAGGGATATTTTTATAATTTTATCAGTTGAGGCCTTGTTTGTGTTACTCGCTCAGCCGTGTCTGACTGTGTGCGAACCCATGGACTGTAACCCACCAGGCTCCTCTGTCCATGGGATTCTCCAGGCAAGAATACTGGAGTGGGTAGCCATTCCCTTCTCCAGGGGATCTTCCTGACCCAGAGAACGAACCCTAGTCTCCTGCATTGCGGGCAGATTCTTTACTGTGTGAGCCACCAGGAAGCCCTGATTGAACCTTGAATGTTTAAAATAACACCAGGACTTCCCTCTGATCCAAAGGCTAAGATTCCCTGTTCTTAAAGCAGGGAGCCTGGATTTGATCCCCGGTCAAGGAACTAGATCCCAGATGCTGAAACTAAGAGTTTGAGTACCACAACTGAAAGATCACTCAGGCTGCAAGTAAGACCCAGTGGAGTCAAATAAAATAAATAAATACCTACTTAAAAAAAAATAAACATTTAGGAAAGGGCTAGATAATTTTTTTAATGAGTATTGATGGTCTAGTGTAGCAATATAAGACAATGAAAACTGATGGTGAGATTTCCACTGTCTTCTTAGGGTCAGGAGCTATTTCCACTCCACTCCTCATGATTTATGTTACTGATTCATTTTAAGTATAAGTGAAGTTCTTCAACAATAAATGAAATAAAGTCACTAATGAGATTAATGACATATTAGTAGTTCCAACACTGTCATTCCTGAGGTCTTGAATCTTTTAAGTGACACCAATGATAGTCTTAAGAGAATCAGGCTGGAAAAATTCCAGTTTGTCCTTGAAATACTTGAAATAGTACCGAGAGACCACAAAGTTGTGGCGATTGAATTTAGATAACACACTGTATTTTAGCCTTGAGATACACTGAATTGTTAGATGTAGAAAGAAACACTATAAAAAGCATTTTATTTTGTAAATAATTGCCTTCACTCTTTGTTATATATTTAATTTTTAGCAAAGAAAGTATGCCAGTAGCTAATCAATTCTGAAATATATTTCGTTTTCTTAACCTTTACCTACTTCTCAAATCTGGTCTTCCCATTTCAGCAAGTGCCTTAATCTGTTCAAGTCATATGTGAGAACATTTTAAAGTCTCACCTTAACAAAGTGCTTATAGGAAATGAGATAGTAAACCTACTATAGTAGAATGTATTCTGAGACTAACTAATTATTGGTGGGGGGGGGGAAGTGTAATGATTTTCAATTAGTTGGTATGATTTTGACCTTGTTCTTGTAATACTGCATCCTGTCTTCAAAACACATTGTGGGCATATCTGTTATTCTTTATTATCCAGTTATTCACTTTACAATGAATCCTTATGCCCTTAAGATGAAATTTCTTTTTCTCCAATTAGAAAATATTCTCTTTTCCTAACCCAGAGACCTCTTTAAGATAGTTTTGTACAGAAACAGACTCGTAGACATGAGAACAGATTTGTGGTGCCAAGGGAGAGAAGTGGAGTGAGAGGGATGAACTAGGAGTTTGAGGTAGATGCAAACTACATTTAGAATGGATAAACAACAAGGTCCTACTGTGTAGCTCAGGGAACTATATTCAATATTCTGGGATAAATCATAATGAAAAAAATACTAAAAAGAAAGTATATATGTTTTTGGGCTTCCCAGGTGGCACTCGTGGTAAAGAAGCCGCCTGCCAATGCAGGAGATGCAAGAGATGCGGGTTCTATCCCTGGGTGGGGAAGATCCCCTGGAGTAGGAAAGGGCAAGCCACTCAAGTATTCTTGCCTGGAAAATCCCATGGACAGAGGAACCTGGCAGGCTATAGTGTATGGGGTAGAAAAAGAGCCAGACACAACTGAGTGACTAAACACACACACACATGTGCGTGTGTAACTGAGTCACTTTGCCTTACAGCAGAGATTTGCACAACACTATAAATCAACTACATTTCAATAAAAAAGATAATTATGTAACTTGTTCCTTTTCTTCCAGATGATCTTTTAAAAGAAAAATGGGGTCTTACGCATCACCTCTCCTTAACCACTCCATGTCCGACAGTTGGTCTCTAATCGCCTGTGCTCTCCTAAAGCTGTCCTCTCAAGGGCTGTCCCAGGTCCTATCTTCCTTGGTGTGTGGACATCCTATTTGTCT